CAGTGCTATAGAGAAGGTTAGAGAAGGTTTGTGGGTTTGGCAATGGACACTAATTAGTTCTTTCATTACAAGTGTCTCTTGAATTCTTCAAAATTAGGCCAAAATGTCAACATTGACCCACGACAGTCTCTTTTATTCATTTAGAAACTTACCAAGAACTTCTTAATGTCCTTATAGTTGGTAATGATACCATTGTGAACAACCACAAACTCTACAAGGAAAAGAATAAAATAAAAATAATTATGTATAAAAGGAGAGAGAATGATCTACCATTTTTTGAGTCTGAGCGTTGTGGGTGTGAATTCACTTCATTAGGTACTCCGTGTGTTGCCCACCTCGTGTGAGCTATTCCAACGTGAGTATCAAGGACTGAGTCCCAGTCAATGTCCTCACGTCCAAAGACCTCGTCATTCAAAGAACTGACCTTACCCTTCTTCCTTATGACTCTATCAAGAGAAGAGGAGAACAAGAGAAAGTGGGGACAATAAAAAGGTTTGTCATATCATTGTTATTTTATGAAAAAGAGAGACAAATGGATGTACAGGTGCATATAAACCATCTTCATTTACTGTGTGAGCTCTTCTCCTTCTTTCAAATCATCAAAAGCCACACCAGCGGAGTCATAACCTCGGTACTCGAGTCTTTGGAGTCCTTGCAATAGTATCTGTAGTATCCTGTGTCTGGTACGCGGGACCAGGTGATTCAGATAACCAAATATACCTAAGGAGGATATATTGAATTAGTCCGCCATGCCTAAAGGAGAAGAGAAAACATAGTAGACTTACCACACATCACTTTCAACAGTGCTGAGCTTCTTAAAGTTGACTTAGTCGAGGGTAATTAATATAAACCAAAACCACACCCAACGCAGGTCAATTTTCCCGCCAAAGCCCGCCATCAAGCTATTATCAGGATTACTGAAATAATAGATCTACGGAACATCTGCACAGTGCACAAAGCAAAGGCTGAAATATGGGGCGATTCATGGCATTCAACACTCTCTATTTTTATTACGCACTGGTCATAATGATAGCAGTGCTGTCAATAACTACCTATGAAGATGAAGAGAAAATGGATCGTAAGTTGTTTACTTGTGATCATATATTTAAGATCAAGATGCAGCTCAGGCTGCTCAGCACTGAGCATAGTAAAGCTGGCCAGTGCAAGTTAAATGGGTGGAATTCAAGGTGCAATTAAGTTGTTGACCTTTGATCATAGATGATACTAAGTTTGATACATTAGTTTGCATGCAAGACTGCTCTGGCTTGCATGCAAGATTAAAAACTTAACAACTGTATTATTGGGGCGAGCCTGAGCTCGCCCCACTAAGGCGAGAAAGCGTTTGTTTGTACGGACAGACCGTCTAACTATTATTGGGGCGAGCAAAAGCGAGCCCCACATAGTCGAGTCGAGTATGTCTGTTTGTTTGTTTGTTTGTTAGTACACGTACGTCACCTCTATTTATGCGTCTATAAAAATAATAATCACACATTTTAAAATGATAATTTTGATAATTACGGTACAACACGTGCAACAACAAAGAGCAACTTCAGTAATCACTGGAGGAGAGGAGTTCAAGAGACAAGAGTATTCAAAAAACAAGAGAAGCTGAAGCTTAAAGCATGAGTAATTCACAAGAAGATGCTCGTGAAGCTCGTCGACTTCTTCATAACAAGCGTGAGAAGGAGCAAGACTGAGGAGGAGAAAAGAGCGAGGAGGTCCAATAGTAATGCTAGAGATAGGTCTTGTCGCACTCAAAGACAACAAATGGAATCTCCTTCTGGCTTCTGAGACCAACTATCTTCCATCCTAGATCTATATAACTGCA